TCCACAACCTGGTAAGCTCTCCATGCACATTTCGAAAAAGAAAGGCACTGGGGCGGCGAGCTGAGAACCAGCGCGGCCCGCCCCGAGATACCAATCCTCCAACCGAGACTGAACGGGACACGGTTTCTAAGGTTCCACTCGAGCCCGGCAGCCTCTGCGGCCCGTTTCATACCTGACATTTCTTGAATTGGCTCGGGCAATATTACACTCCCAGAGGAAGATAACACAGCCGAGTCGTCATCTCCAGAGGCCAGCTCACCCTCCGATGCTGCTATCGACATCCATCCTCTATCATTATCCTCTGGGGGAACCCCAATTGAAACGGCTGATCGGTCCATTACAGACGGACCAGCACGTTCAACAGGAATTCCATCGGCTGCAGTGTGATGGAGGAGTGAGGAGCCCACAGGGAATGGTTACCGGGCGAGACATCCATCACTATCCTCCAATCACCCATCCCACACGGCACCCAGGGGTGGGGCATGGTAATGGGGACTCGCGCTTCGCCGACGAAGGCGAGTCTCGATCTCAACACCACGACAGTCATATTCCCGCAATGGGAACATGAACCGTCCACAAAAGCTGCTTCAGCCTGCTGTAGGGTTGTAACGGTATGAGATTTTCACGGTATGATAATCGTCTCAGAAAATATCACGGTTTCACGGTATACGATATTAAAGTAAACTATCATTATTATTATAATCATCATCAGCTACACTACATATACACACATAATAAACTAACAACATGGATTTAAATAGGAAATTTAAATAAGTTGGATGGGGCAAACTAATTCAAAATTTTAAAATACTGAAACATGTCTAATAAATTGTATTAAAAAAACATTTTTAATTTATTAATTATTATTTAAGAACAATAGAGTCTTTATGAAATGTATATTTATTTCCTCAGAAATTCTGGGTTGTCTGATATAACTTAACTGGTCTGGATTCTGTGATTGAATACAAAATGTATTTTTGAAAATGCAATCAGATAAAATGTAACAACTTTTGTTTGTCTACACAAGAGAGGTTTACTATATTAAAACATGGACAAAAAAACTATACACAATAGTAATATATTTTAGTCATTATTTCTTCAGGCTAAACCAAACTTTTTTTACAGGTTGTACTGAACACCTATGAGAATTGTTAAAAACAATTATAAAATGCTCATTAAGTGTTCTCTGTCTGGATATGTTCATGTGTTCACGTCTTCACATAGTGGGTGAGACAGCAGATGCTTTAAAAACCATGAGCATCATGCGTACTTGAGTGTGTACTAGATCTGGTAGACGAAACAGCGCTGCTCATTCATACAGAGACACGCTGAATATAGAATTAAGGGGGTCGCACACCAGCCTTTTTGCGCTGTATATTCACAGACACGCACATCGCGATTTGATTTACTGCACAGCTATTTTTGATTTATTCATCCATCTAGTATCTATCAAATCGCACATTTTACGTGGCATCTGTATTGTAACGCAAAAAGACTGGTGTGCGTCTTTTTGACAGACCGGGATTCCCTCAGCATGACAGAAATAATATGGCCTTAAGTTATACAAGTTATGAATTACCTTTATCTTCACAGAGGGATGGTGTTCCCGAATATGGGAGAACATGTTCGACGTGTTTCCTCCTTTTGCAGCCACTCTTCGTCCACATATCTTGCAAACTGGATATCTATCTTCAAGGACAACACCACGATCGTTTTTCGGATATCCAAAATATTCCCATACTGCAGATTTTATTTTATTTTCGGCGGGAGATAGAGATTCAGACATTTTCAGCGCTGTACAGGTAGGCCTATGGTTGGAGTCTAAGCAGTCAAGCTGAAAGAAGTTGCATGCGGCAGTGCAGGTTTAATTTTTTTTTTTACCGCGGATAAGCAAATGTGCACGATATGATAATCGTACATGTCAATATCGCAATAAACCGCCATACCGGTATACCGTTACAACCCTAGCCTGCTGTAAGCCCAAACACGTGATGCAACAATTGTGACCGTCAGAGAGGAAAAGGGAACGACCGCATCCAGAAACGCACAGGTGGAATCTTGAAAAAGACGCAAACGCACCCGTGTTGCTCTTTCAGGAAATAGGAGAACACAGGGGAATGACCGTGGCAACACTGAACAGGGAACTGAAACAGTGAAGCACTCACTTTTCCGCCCTCTAACCAGCCGTCAACACACACAAACCTTTAGAAGTTTGTTGCTGTTAAAACAGCAGTTGAGAGCTCAAAGCTCGTGATCACCGCTGCACTCACGCTGTAGAAACCGCCAGCACTGGGAGAGTCTTCCAGAAGAACACGACACACACTCGCTCGTTGTAAACAACAGCACTCTTCAGAGACATCAAACGATCGGCTCCAAAGCGAAAGGCAACTAGTGCGTGCATCTACTTCTGTATTTATACCCGCGCCGCGGGGGCGGAGTGTGTGATGTCGTCACGCACGCCAATTCCATTGGCTCGTTCAATAGACCAATTTTCAGTTGGTAAACATGGTGACGTTTTTATGTGGGCGGAGCTTAAGTGGTGGCAGAACGATCCCTCTGGCCGCTTCACTGACGTAAAGTCTGCAAGTTTTGTTAGCTTGTTTTTAACAATGACTGGAGAAAATCCGATTTTATCTTAATGTGCAAGGTCACTCACTGTCCAGGACCACGATTGTTATTTGCAAAAGTTAATTTTAATCGGACGGAACCAGATTGGCCGACCCGTACACTCATTGAGGATCTGACAGGATTAACGTTAACGTTACCTCCGGTTGAGTGAACTGACTTCTACACCAACCTGATAGAGAAACGGAGGGCATGTAAATCTTTAGATGCCTATAACTATGTGCTGAATGGTGATGTGCAAGACGTGTGTGTACGATCTGCAGTTCTGCCGAGCCAGCGCCGAGAAGACGACAATGTAAAGAGTGACATTACGGTGCAATTTTAATGAGGTGAATATTTCTAGAAATAAAAAATTGCAGATAAAGCATATTAATTTTCCATTGATTCTTGCACCCAACAACACAACAAGATGACATTTAATAATAAGAAGAAGAATTTAAGATCCTTATTTTGTAGCCGAATCTGTGCTGGTTTGTATTCACCGCCTCCAGTTTTCCCTTTGTTCTGCCACCAGCTAGCGCCGTGACGTAACTGTGACGTCGGCTGAAAATTGGTCTATTGTACTCGAAGACGATTGGCTCCCTAGCGTGATCCCCATTCAGTCGACGTCGACTACGTCTGACGTTCTCGACTGAAAGGGAATATTTCTGATTATTATTAATGTTTTTTTTAAAAAGAGTCAGGATTCTTTGAAGAATAGACATTTCAAAGGAGATTTATCTGAAATATCAAGCTTTTGTAACATTAAAAATGTCTTTTGATTAATTTAATGCATATTTGCTGAATAAATGTAGGCTATTACTTTCTTTAATTTCTTTGAGTTCTTACTGACCCCAAACTTTTGAACTGTAGTGTATAATGTTACAAAAGCTTTATATTTCAGATAAATGCTGTTATTTTGAACGATGGTTTGAGTGTAATGTGACTTTTTTTGTAAGACCTTAAAATTCGTTTTAGAATTCAATTGTACAAATACTTTAAGCAAAACAATGTGTTTATGTCTGAGAACCTTTAAAACACATACTTAACAACAGACACTGAAATGACAAACACTGTGCGATACAGTACAAATATTTTGAGTGTCCCTTATTTTCTTGTAAAGAACCAGGATTGTCCCGTATATCCCTCCGCTGGTCTGACTCACTGACATCAGCGCTGGACTGACCGTCCTTCAGCGAGCCGCTAGCGCTAGCGTTAGCCAGAGTCGTGCTGGAGAAGAGGAGTTGTAGATTCACAAACGTTCGTGTCAGCCGAACCCCTTGGCCGTAAAATATTTACTTGAAGTCTCCTTTGAGATTTCAAGTTAATATTTCAAAAATTTAACACCACTTTTGGATGTTTATGATCTTCTGATGTTGGTTAATGCTCACACGACAGGCAAGTAAATAAATAAAGCTTTTCAGTGTTCCTTAGTACGCGTTTATGTTGACTCTGTAGCTGGACTTTAAAATGGACTGTTTTTAGTTGTGATTGTGTCTCAGTCCACATTACAGTCACACTGGTGTTTTAGCAACCCTATTAAACTGAATCATAATAATAATAATTATTATTATTATTATTATAACTGTTGTAAATTAACAATAGTACTGTCAAAAATAATATTTACATTAATAATAATAGTTCTACACTGCAAGTTACAATACTAAATTCTTCACTTTTTGCATTTCAAATCCTCTTTTTTGCTTTTATTAAGGAGTAATATTGGAGACATGCTGTAAACTTCTGTCCAGAAAATGTTGTAAATGATGTGAATAAAGAAGTGCTGTGCAACGATTGATCCAAAATAAAAGTTTGTGTTGACATAATATGTGTGTGTATTATTTTGTATATATAAATACACACACATGCATGTATATATTTAAGAAATATTTGCATGTATATACTGTAAATATATTTATATATAATTTATATTATATATAAATATTTCATGTATAAAACGTTTTTTTTAAAATATATATATACATGCATATGTGTGTATTTATATATACAAAATAATTATACGCAGTACACACACATATATTACGTAAACACAAACTTTAATTTGGATGCGATTAGTCGTGATTAATTGATTATTAGCTTTTCATCAGCTCCACAAACGCCCTGCCGTTCCCCGAGGACCCCCGCGCTTCCCCAGAGCATGATGTGTAGACCAGCTGGAAACCACACACACACACACACACACACACAACAAAGAAATGCTCTACATGTCCAGCCTGACACAGATCTTCCAATAGGGAGACACCAATATTGGGTACGATTTTTCTAATTAAATTGCACAATTGTTGATGCTTTTTGATAAGAGTGTCTGTCAGATTATGTTGGCGTTGATGTGTGTGTGTGTGTGTGTGTGTGTGCGTGTGTGTGTGTGTACTCACCTCTCTACACGCACGGGTGTGAAGAAGCGGATGCGTATGAAGTCTCCGGCCACCGGTGTGAAGGCCCAGAAGAAGTCCTCCCCCAGATAGGCCTTCTCCAGAGTGAAGTGCTGGTACGTCTTCAGGCTGGTGGTGACCTCGGCGAGCGGGTTAGCGTGACCCTTATGAAGCGTCTGCTTCCCGAAGTCCTTATCCTGAACACAACACACACAACGGCCTCATAAAGAGTGCGCGGTGTTCCTTCAATAACTGCAACTTTATCTCCAAATAAAAGATTTCAACTTTTTTTATTGTTGTAACATTAAAGTTACATTTAAATGCCTTTTTTATGGCATCTCACTCCCTTTCAAGTGTCTTTTATGGTTATATTTTATTGTTTCATCCTTGACCCAGACTTTCAAAGGACAACATTAAACATGATATAACCTTAATGCGCATGCATGAAATATAATCTCTTAAAGTCCCAGTGGTGAAAATCCAGTTTTTAATGTTGTTTATATGTGGTGTTTTTAATAGAGGTCGACGATAGTGGATTTGACCGATACCGATGACTAGGTTTGACTGTACTTGCTGATAACAGAATCATCAACCATTTTAAATGTATACTAGATAAAAAACAAACATGACACTCAAATTAAAACAGTGCTGAACTTAAATGTGCTAAATGAAATATATATATTAAAATGAGAAGTTCTACAGAACGAATTCTCCAGAAAATAATGTAAACATTAAAATATTACAGGTCAAATGTGTGTTTCTTTAGCTATTACGTTGAAACATACATAAATTTCATAGGTAAAACTTTGCAAGTATGATAACAATGATGTATTAGCTAGCTTTCATGAACTATATGTATTATGCAATATGCATTTTTACAGAATGTATTCATATTTGAGCAATACAATTGTACCTTGATCATTCATGTTAGTTCATAGAACATTAACTAAGGTTAACAGATCAAATAAAAATTCAAACTAAATTTTTAAGGGATAAAATGATTATTTACAATTGTTACAGGGGGACTTTAATATAATATAACAGTACGGCTGAGCTTTGCTATGGATGATGTCACTTTTTATGGTTGACAGAGAAGCGTAGCAGGCAGACGGGAAGATATCAATAGTTAACTATATGAAATACAAACTCTTATATACATCTGTATGCATGCATGTGTGTGTGTGTGTGTGTGTAAAAGCTGAACAGAAGATAGTCAAGTATAGGTCAGACTGTGGCTAATTCTGTTCAGTTGAAACAGTAATATCCCAGTATATTTACTGGGTTGGGATGTGGGTAGACGACAGCTGGAATGCTTTGGATCGTTTCTGAGTGTTTATGAAATCAAACCTCAAACACACGTGGGTTTACCCCAAAAACTGTAGAGTGAAACATGTCAACAGTTGATATGAAACGCATAAATAAAAGAAGTTGTCTAGTAAATGAATGACTAGCGACTCGGAATAACGGCAGTGATTGAGGCAGGTATTATGATAAACGGAGCGTCACACACATTCGGCTCGACAGCCGAGGAGAGAAATCAACACGACAGGGAACAGGTGTGTCACACGAACACTCGTCGCCATGGCGATCCATAGTGTTCTTCATTCAGAGGGAATAAACATGATGAAAATATAAGCATTATTAAAGCTGCAGTCCGTAGCTTTTCCTCTTTGTCGCCATCTCTGTTTGAAGCAATTGCATTCATTCGCGGAATTATTAATTTTACGTGAGTTGTACATCGGCATGAAACAGCGCGGATGAACACAATGTTGTGAGGAGAGTGCGCGGTCACAGCGCCGGTGTGGATACTGGCATTCAGAATCACACATTCTACTTTTTGGAAGTACAGGATGACCAACATAAGAATTTTCACCGGAAAATGTCCTCTGAACAAGTAAGTAACATTCACTTTTGTTCAGATCAACTACGGGGAAAATGCATAGATTGCACTGCAGTAAATCGCGCTGATTAAATCTAACGATCGCTTATCATGTCGAACCGTGCAAATTATACTTTGTTCTCAAATTGTTAATGTTAACAACATCAGCTTTGCGTGACGACATTTAATGTGATTTATGGTTACCTGTAGTTCAGAAGCTAAACGAGAAAGGCACAACAAAGGAAACTCCATAACTGTGTGAATTAAGCAAACGGACTGTTACACGATTGAACTATTGAAATGTCTTACTTGTCCAGCAGAAAAAAGCGTCTCTTCTTCCATTTTGAACCCCTTCAAAACACGGAGTTCACGCACCAAACGCCCTGCCTATGTTCCTTGTGTTCGCATGAGACGGTTTCTTTCTCTTTCTCTAGCCACTTTAAATCCGAAGTACGAAGTCTTTTGAGTTTTATAACTGCTGAATCTCCAGTTGACACTGATGATTGTTGTTTGGATCTTTCTGGATCCGCCATAAGTTCAATTATGTAAAGTGCTGCGAGAAAAGGCATCTCTACTCTCACCAACGTCAACATCCTCACGCGCAGTATAGCTAGCCGAAACTCCTTCTTTATGTGTACGGATGTGACGTAATGACGCAAAAACATGCTCGAATTTCCCGCGGAAACCCACCAGTACCACTGGAAATAAAATCATTATTACAAGCTAACCGTTTTGAATCGAGCTACGGCAAGCAGATAGTTTTGAACACTGGCTGAATATGTTTTTTTTTAAAATAATTATTTTGGAATATTTTTAACTTGAAAAAAGTTACGGACTGCAGCTTTAATTATTATAATCAGTGCCTTCTGGCTCTCTGGCTTGTAATTCGGACAATCTCTGAGGAGAAACGAACATAGACCTGAGGCAGAACGCTGTCTGGAGGATTACAAATGAGGAAAATTATTATACTTACCCACACACTCACACACACACACATATAAATAAATGAATTTAGTAAAAACATAACTGAATAAGACAGATCACCTTGAGTTTCTGGATCTTGCCAGCGAGTGAAGAGTGTGTCCCGACGTGCTGGAAGAGGGACGGCTTAAAGCGGATGCGCAGGTTTGCTTTCTGACGGTCACAATGTTTCTGCGGGACAGACGACATCATTTATGTCCTATCACGACTACACACACTTTCAACAAAGAAACGGAGCTCGTTTCGTCACTCGCGTTTGTGTGTGTGTGGAAACACCCGAGGCGCTCGCACAGAAAGCTGCGTCTCAGACCGCTCACGAACACTAAACTGAGCTCGTTCACGTCTTCTTGTGCTCCAGCGACAAATTCACAATCATGTCTAAAGATAGCGAGCACATAGTAAACATAGTCGGTTATGTGTTAAGGGAACATAAACAGGTGAGGAAGTAAACGCGTGTATCAGTGTATTAGATCAGTGCATTCACTCTTAAAGTGACAGTAGTCTAATATTCCTGATGAGGTCTGTGTTTATAATGTTAATCACACGACAAAGACAAAGAGACAATCACTCACTGCTCTCGACTGAATAACTTTAATAAGGATTAATTAATAATGATGTTTAATTTATACAGTGAAGCCTGAGTAGTGTTATTTTACATTTGCTTATTTTATTACATTTCTGCACCTGAAAAATACTATCAGACCTACGTGAAACACACTGTTTATTTAATCTGTATCTTTGTTATATTGTATTTATTTGTGCTTTTGCTTGTAATTTCATTGTTTAGTTATCTTTAATAATGTTTAAAATGTATATTAGTTAGGCTAGTAGGTTTAGCTGTGGCGTTGAAATTGGAATAGATATTTGTGAATTTTGGTGTCATTATCGCCTGTGTTTGCAAACACAGTTTCATGGCCGGTAAAGAATATTAATGGCCGGTTCATTTTCGTGAGTCACTGGGCATTGGCATGTGTGGCAGAAAGTTAGTTTTAGGCCCGGTTTATATGTGAATTAAAGCCTAAATGAAATCTGTTCATCATATAAAGTGATTGTGTCTCTTCAGAAGACTGATTAAGCCGCTCGATTCACAGGGACTGCTGTTCTGCTGTGTTCATGAGGCTTTTGAAGCTTCAAGGTTTTGGTTTCCTGGACGTTCAGCGGAAGGACAGAAGCAGCTTTCATTATAAATATCTTCATTTGTGTTTCAAAGATGATTCAAAGTCTTATGGGTTTGGAACGACACGAGGGAGAGTAAAAGACAGAAGTAAAATGTTTAGGTGAACTGCGACTTTAACAGCTAGTTGTTCCATTTCTTAATGTGACTTTGGTTGTCACTGCCAGATTTGTATTAGGTTTTAGTCTGAAAAGAGACTAACATGGCCTCTATCAATCAGGTGTAATATCAAAATGCAGAGTCCGTTTCTGAAAGATTTTACGCATTCTATTATTATTAAAATCAATCTTTACACATGTTAAAGAGAGACACAATAATGATACTGAATCAACAAATAATATTAAGAGTGATTGTAATAAGGAAACAGATGTATAATTCTTACCGCGTCTTTTTCTGGGTTGCACACCTTCACCCACATGATGTGGTCCAACAGCCAATCAATGGGCTTGTCTTTGTAGAACATTAGCATAAACTCCACGATCAGCGGCAAGTCTAATGACTTGAACATCTTCCCTGAAATAAGCAGAACAGACTCATGAGCATCCACTGATAACTCCAGCACACACACATTCAGCACACACACATTCAGCACACACACATTCAGCACACACACATTCAGCACACACACATTCAGCACACACACATTCAGCCCTGAGGAAGCTTTCATGGGCAAACCGGACTGCAGTCAGGAGACAAATCAAAACTCACGGATTTACACTTTCAACACGGATTTAAACAAGGAACTCAAGGGAGGAAAGACGAAGGAAAAGAAAACACTAATGCAATCATAGGAAAGGCGCTCTGAGAGTAATTACATCTTCATATTAACGACTCAAGGCTCTTCTTCTAAAGTGGTGCAGCAAATAACTTTACATGTTCTACATAAATGATAACACTTTTCTTAAAATATGAGATTAATTCAATTCATCAAATGAAATGGGATCAGATTCAGCAGGAAGGATGTTCTTCATAACGACCTTTTTATTGGCCTCTAATTAAGTTCTTCCAAACTGTGTGGGTCACAGAGGATCTGATTGGCTGTTGAACTGTCTGGGTCGCAGAGGATCTGATTGGCTGTTGAACTGTCTGGGTCGCAGAGGATCTGATTGGCTGCTGAACTGTCTGGGTCACAGAGGATCTGATTGGCTGTTGAACTGTCTGGGTCGCAGAGGATCTGATTGGCTGTTGAACTGTCTGGGTCACAGAGGATCTGATTGGCTGTTGAACTGTCTGGGTCGCAGAGGATCTGATTGGCTGCTGAACTGTCTGGGTCGCAGAGGATCTGATTGGCTGCTGAACTGTCTGGGTCGCAGAGGATCTGATTGGCTACTGAACTGTCTGGGTCGCAGAGGATCTGATTGGCTGCTGAACTGTCTGGGTCACAGAGGATCTGATTGGCTGCTGAACTGTCTGGGTCACAGAGGATCTGATTGGCTGCTGAACTGTCTGGGTCACAGAGGATCTGATTGGCTGCTGAACTGTCTGGGTCGCAGAGGATCTGATTGGCTGCTGAACTGTCTGGGTCACAGAGGATCTGATTGGCTGCTGAACTGTCTGGGTCACAGAGGATCTGATTGGCTGCTGAACTGTCTGGGTCACAGAGGATCTGATTGGCTGCTGAACTGTCTGGGTGGCAGAGGATCTGATTGGCTGCTGAACTGTCTGGGTCACAGAGGATCTGATTGGCTGCTGAACTGTCTGGGAGGGCAGAGGATCTGATTGGCTGCTGAACTGTCTGGGTCGCAGAGGATCTGATTGGCTACTGAACTGTCTAGGAGGGCAGAGGATCTGATTGGCTGCTGAACTGTCTGGGTCACAGAGGATCTGATTGGCTGCTGAACTGTCTGGGAGGGCAGAGGATCTGATTGGCTGCTGAACTGTCTGGGAGGGCAGAGGATCTGATTGGCTGCTGAACTGTCTGGGTCGCAGAGGATCTGATTGGCTACTGAACTGTCTGGGAGGGCAGAGGATCTGATTGGCTGTTGAACTGTCTGGGTCACAGAGGATCTGATTGGCTGCTTAACTGTCTGGGTCACAGAGGATCTGATTGGCTGCTGAACTGTCTGGGTCACAGAGGATCTGATTGGCTACTGAACTGTCTGGGAGGGCAGAGGATCTGATTGGCTGCTGAACTGTCTGGGTCACAGAGGATCTGATTGGCTACTGAACTGTCTGGGTCACAGAGGATCTGATTGGCTGCTGAACTGTCTGGGTCGCAGAGGATCTGATTGGCTGCTGAACTGTCTGGGTCGCAGAGGATCTGATTGGCTGCTGAACTGTCTGGGAGGGCAGAGGATCTGATTGGCTGCTGAACTGTCTGGGTCGCAGAGGATCTGATTGGCTACTGAACTGTCTGGGTCGCAGAGGATCTGATTGGCTGTTGAACTGTCTGGGTCGCAGAGGATCTGATTGGCTGTTGAACTGTCTGGGTCGCAGAGGATCTGATTGGCTGCTGAACTGTCTGGGTCGCAGAGGATCTGATTGGCTGTTGAACTGTCTGGGTCACAGAGGATCTGATTGGCTGTTGAACTGTCTGGGTCGCAGAGGATCTGATTGGCTGTTGAACTGTCTGGGTCACAGAGGATCTGATTGGCTGTTGAACTGTCTGGGTCGCAGAGGATCTGATTGGCTGCTGAACTGTCTGGGTCGCAGAGGATCTGATTGGCTGCTGAACTGTCTGGGTCGCAGAGGATCTGATTGGCTACTGAACTGTCTGGGTCGCAGAGGATCTGATTGGCTGCTGAACTGTCTGGGTCACAGAGGATCTGATTGGCTGCTGAACTGTCTGGGTCACAGAGGATCTGATTGGCTGCTGAACTGTCTGGGTCACAGAGGATCTGATTGGCTGCTGAACTGTCTGGGTCGCAGAGGATCTGATTGGCTGCTGAACTGTCTGGGTCACAGAGGATCTGATTGGCTGCTGAACTGTCTGGGTCACAGAGGATCTGATTGGCTGCTGAACTGTCTGGGTCACAGAGGATCTGATTGGCTGCTGAACTGTCTGGGTGGCAGAGGATCTGATTGGCTGCTGAACTGTCTGGGTCACAGAGGATCTGATTGGCTGCTGAACTGTCTGGGAGGGCAGAGGATCTGATTGGCTGCTGAACTGTCTGGGTCGCAGAGGATCTGATTGGCTACTGAACTGTCTAGGAGGGCAGAGGATCTGATTGGCTGCTGAACTGTCTGGGTCACAGAGGATCTGATTGGCTGCTGAACTGTCTGGGAGGGCAGAGGATCTGATTGGCTGCTGAACTGTCTGGGAGGGCAGAGGATCTGATTGGCTGCTGAACTGTCTGGGTCGCAGAGGATCTGATTGGCTACTGAACTGTCTGGGAGGGCAGAGGATCTGATTGGCTGTTGAACTGTCTGGGTCACAGAGGATCTGATTGGCTGCTTAACTGTCTGGGTCACAGAGGATCTGATTGGCTGCTGAACTGTCTGGGTCACAGAGGATCTGATTGGCTACTGAACTGTCTGGGAGGGCAGAGGATCTGATTGGCTGCTGAACTGTCTGGGTCACAGAGGATCTGATTGGCTACTGAACTGTCTGGGTCACAGAGGATCTGATTGGCTGCTGAACTGTCTGGGTCGCAGAGGATCTGATTGGCTGCTGAACTGTCTGGGTCGCAGAGGATCTGATTGGCTGCTGAACTGTCTGGGAGGGCAGAGGATCTGATTGGCTGCTGAACTGTCTGGGTCGCAGAGGATCTGATTGGCTACTGAACTGTCTGGGTCGCAGAGGATCTGATTGGCTGCTGAACTGTCTGGGTCGCAGAGGATCTGATTGGCTACTGAACTGTCTGGGTCACAGAGGATCTGATTGGCTGCTGAACTGTCTGGGTCGCAGAGGATCTTATTGGCTGCTGAACTGTCTGGGAGGGCAGAGGATCTGATTGGCTGCTGAACTGTCTGGGAGGGCAGAGGATCTGATTGGCTACTGAACTGTCTGGGAGGGCAGAGGATCTGATTGGCTGTTGAACTGTCTGGGTCACAGAGGATCTGATTGGCTGCTTAACTGTCTGGGTCACAGAGGATCTGATTGGCTGCTGAACTGTCTGGGTCACAGAGGATCTGATTGGCTACTGAACTGTCTGGGAGGGCAGAGGATCTGATTGGCTGCTGAACTGTCTGGGTCACAGAGGATCTGATTGGCTACTGAACTGTCTGGGTCACAGAGGATCTGATTGGCTGCTGAACTGTCTGGGTCGCAGAGGATCTGATTGGCTGCTGAACTGTCTGGGTCGCAGAGGATCTGATTGGCTGCTGAACTGTCTGGGAGGGCAGAGGATCTGATTGGCTGCTGAACTGTCTGGGTCGCAGAGGATCTGATTGGCTACTGAACTGTCTGGGTCGCAGAGGATCTGATTGGCTGCTGAACTGTCTGGGTCGCAGAGGATCTGATTGGCTACTGAACTGTCTGGGTCACAGAGGATCTGATTGGCTGCTGAACTGTCTGGGTCGCAGAGGATCTTATTGGCTGCTGAACTGTCTGGGAGGGCAGAGGATCTGATTGGCTGCTGAACTGTCTGGGAGGGCAGAGGATCTGATTGGCTGCTGAACTGTCTGGGTCGCAGAGGATCTGATTGGCTACTGAACTGTCTGGGAGGGCAGAGGATCTGATTGGCTGCTGAACTGTCTGGGTCGCAGAGGATCTGATTGGCTACTGAACTGTCTGGGTCGCAGAGGATCTGATTGGCTGCTGAACTGTCTGGGTGGCAGAGGATCTGATTGGCTGCTGAACTGTCTGGGTCGCAGAGGATCTGATTGGCTGCTGAACTGTCTGGGAGGGCAGAGGATCTGATTGGCTGCTGAACTGTCTGGGAGGGCAGAGGATCTGATTGGCTGCTGAACTGTCTGGGTCACAGAGGATCTGATTGGCTACTGAACTGTCTGGGAGGGCAGAGGATCTGATTGGCTACTGAACTGTCTGGGTCGCAGAGGATCTGATTGGCTGCTGAACTGTCTGGGTCGCAGAGGATCTGATTGGCTGCTGAACTGTCTGGGTCGCAGAGGATCTGATTGGCTACTGAACTGTCTGGGTCGCAGAGGATCTGATTGGCTGCTGAACTGTCTGGGAGGGCAGAGGATCTGATTGGCTGCTGAACTGTCTGGGAGGGCAGAGGATCTGATTGGCTGCTGAACTGTCTGGGAGGGCAGAGGATCTGATTGGCTGCTGAACTGTCTGGGTCACAGAGGATCTGATTGGCTACTGAACTGTCTGGGAGGGCAGAGGATCTGATTGGCTGCTGAACTGTCTGGGAGGGCAGAGGATCTGATTGGCTGCTGAACTGTTTGGGTGGCAGAGGATCTGATTGGCTGCTGAACTGTCTGGGTCGCAGAGGATCTGATTGGCTGCTGAACTGTCTGGGTCGCAGAGGATCTGATTGGCTGTTGAACTGTCTGGGTCGCAGAGGATCTGATTGGCTGCTGAACTGTCTGGGTCGCAGAGGATCTGATTGGCTGCTGAACTGTCTGGGTCGCAGAGGATCTGATTGGCTACTGAACTGTCTGGG